GATAACCCAATAAGAATTAGTACTATTTCAGTTGTGTTTGGACAACTGTTGAATTACTAGTACTCTTGTTGCTCTTGCTACAATTAGACTCTAAAAAAAGACATTGATTTCTTGATTATGGTTTGGCAGGAAACCAAAAAATTGTTATTTATGTTCCTGTTAACTGCTATTTCCAGTGAATTGGAGATGGAATGTTTGTGGAGTTGTAGTATCAATACTTGAGATTGCACAGGTCTTGAATTTGTCAAAATGAAGCATGCTTCAAATATTAGTTGTGGCCATAACGCAGAAATGGGTAGTATGCTATATGTGAATTCTTCTCTTTTTTGCTTAACTCTAGTGAATTGTCTTTTTTTTGCTTAACTCTATATTGAGTTATCTTATCGGGTAAACCGATAACCGAACCGATAATGGTCAATAACCGATTAACCGATAACCGATATCTTATCGGTTCGGTTATCGGTTTATCATATTTGTAAACCGATAGCCGATATGCTAAACCGATAATATTCACAACCGAACCGAACCGACCGATGTCCACCCCTATTTGAAAGTTATGGCTTCATGTTATTATATCTAAATTATTTATGAATACTCTTGAGAAGTCATTTTACTTAATTTGCGTACCAAACACCGGAAAATGAATAAAATTACTACTTGTTTTTCAAGAAAACATTTTGTTGGAAAACATTTTCCTCGAAAAACATTTTTCGTTATACCAAACACACCCTAAAACCTTCAAATTTTTGGATTGATATGCGAAATGAGAAAAAATATTGCATAAGCTGATTAGTATGAAGCGCTTAGCAATATTTAGTAGGTCATGTATATGTTTATTTAACCACCATTGGCTGCATTTATTGTGTTGTTTAGGATTTTTATAGATACTACAATCACATTATGATATTGCATTTGTAGTAAAAACTGATTAAATTACGTGGTAAATTCTCATGTGCTAGATTCTCATCTCTGACCGAACATCCTGCTTTAAATGGAAAACTAAACTATTTGATCACAGACTCTCAAGCTGCTGTTAGTATATCATTTCCATTTTATCTTATTATCTTGATGTGCATCCAGTTTTGGCCAATTATGCTTAAAAATATACGAAGCTTATGTAAATTTGTCGAGGTTGGGAGCAATTAGCTGTTTTAGACGTGGATAATTGAATTTCCAAGTCATGTATTCATTGTCTTTTTGCTGACTCCTTGCAATGCTACAGCGAGCAGAATGTTCTTTGTCGATTCTCCAAATTATTCTATTCTAAAGGCAGTAAGAAAGGGTTGTAGATACACATATAAACAGGGCATATGCAACTTAATTAAATCTCACTTAATTATACAATGTACTCAACCAATGAAAAGCGAGTAAATTCTTTGGTATGGAAAAAGGGCATGCTTAAACTCTCAAATTCTGAAACTGAAATTAAATCCATACCACAAAAATTTTGCTTTTTGGATGGAACTCCATGTGGTACCCATAAACTCTCGAAAAGTAATTATTGGTATGGCAGAATCATTTTTTTCGGAAATATTTTCGGAGGAAAAAGGCGAAATGGCTTCGTGGCCACTTAAACTTGTCGGGTTTTTTAAAGTCGATACATAAATTTTTTATTTTCTCATTTAAACACTTGAACTCGTTTTTTCCATAACTAATAAACACATCTGACAAGAGACCATGTGTGAGTGTATTACACATACACATACGTGTCCATCCAGTCAGCAAATAACCAATGGATATCTTACACGTCAAGAGCGCGAAAACCCTAACCCTGGTCCCCTCTTTAATGCAAGTCTTTTGAATAAGCCTGATTTGATAAATTTGTGTGTTAGGAAAGATCTAAAGATTTGTTCACCTTGTGGGGTGAATTGTTCCGAAGGATTCTTCCCTTCTAGTTCTTGTACTGAAAATGCATACAGGGTATGTACTCCTTGCTCTCTTTGCCAGAATAGCTCTTGTTCGGATGTTTGCATGCTCCAAAACTCGGAAATGATGAAGCATCAGCATCAGCATCAATTGCGTCAACTACTGCTCATAGTCGGGTCTTCTACTTTGAGTTTCTTGTTATGTTTAGTTGGATTATGTTTGTTAATCCACATGATAGGCAGTAGAACCAAACAAGGTGGAAAGAGCCAATTTGCCTCATGTATTCGCAAGCCTGAGAAGGAAACTGATGCAAATACCGACCCTCATCCTCCTGTGTCTGTGTCACTGTGTCCAGGGAAAGCTCAGGTTTTTCGACTTTCAGAATTGAAAGATGCCACTAATGGGTTCAAGGAGTTCAACGAACTTGGAAGGAGAAATTATGGGGAAGTTCAAAACTTAGCTTCAGCTCTACAATGACAAAATATACAACTTTCCACTATTTTCACGGTCTGAAAAAATGAAGAAAAAAAATTGAAAATGGAACTTCAGATTTTAAAAAATGGAGGAAGGGGTATTTTAAAAGGAATAAATAAGAACACAATTAAACACAACCCATTTTGTACTGTTGGGCGTTGGGAAGGGGGTTTTCACGCTCCTGTGCATCGTGTTCCTCACGCGGGCTGTTGATTAGGACCAACTGACGCCACATGGGCATGGTCAATGGTCAAATGTGTTTATTAGTTATGGAAAAAATAAGTCCGCGTGTTTAAATGAGAAAGTTATAAGTTTATGTATCGGCTTTTAAAACCCCAACAAGTTTAAGTGGCCAGGAAGCCATTTCGCCTTTTTCAAAATTATTTTCCTAAAAAGTCTTTAACGATATTTGGTTGTGGGGTATAAAATGTTCATCCGAAATTGATAATAATGTAGATAGTGTTTTGATGAACAATTTTTAGTATTACATATTGATAATAATATTTAAGTGCAAGTTGGAGTAACAATATGAAGTCAAGATATTGAGATAGTTGTGAATAAAATTAATTTGAGTCCAAAAGTAAAGGATGTCATTTTTGTTCATTTGGTAAAATGTAATTTTAAAGAAAATATTATCTATTTTATAAAAAAAAAATATGTTTGGTCAACACCAAATAGAGAGCATTTCTTCATCTTATAGGGTAGTGCGTCAAAGTAGAAAGGAAAAAAGACAAGAAAAAAAAGTTATTCTATGACCTTTGCTTTTGGAGCTAATAGTAGAGGACCATAAAGCGAAAAAAAGGTGCCAAGGTGCGGATAAGTTTTGACCGTATATTCGTAATTGTATTTATATTAAATCAATAAATATATATCACTTCTTTTCTTTTGACTATTTTAAAAAAAAAATATTATTAATGAATAATATGAACGAATAATTATTTTTTGCCATTTTGACACCACTAATTAAGACAATCTCATTTCATTAGTTAATCAGCCATTCAACATCTCCAAACTATTATTGTTACATAAACTAAAGAAGAGAAATGAAGTAAATATAAACATATGAATTTCAAGATAAACAAAGCAAAATCTCAAGAACTTTCTGTCCCTTTTCTTTCCTTTCTGCTCACAGGTTTTGAGTTCTTTTTTGTCTAAAGCTGGTCAGGAACGGTTTCGGACTATCACTACTGCTTACTATCGTGGAGCCATGGGTATATTGTTAATGGTGTATGATGTTACTGATGAATCCTCCTTTAACAACATTATTCGTAACATTGAGCAGCATGCCTCAGACAATGTCACCAAAATACTTGTAGGGAACAAGCTGACATGGATGAAAAAGCAAGAGGGCTCATCCTACTTCAAAGGTCCAAGCACTTGCAGTTGAGTACAAACCTGAACGCGCAACTTGTTTTCTTCTCAATAGACTGCCCTTCGACGCTCAACCAGATGCAGGAGCTGGAGGTAGTCAAGCTGCCCAGAGATCAGCTTGCTGTGGTTCGTAAAAATAGTTGGTTGGGTATTACAGCTCCTGTTGCACTTGCTGGGCTCTAAACCACCAAGAAAAGCAAAGCAAAAGCTAAGGTTGAAGCCAATATCGTTGGGGATTGTAACATCTTTATTGGTCGTTTTTTTGAAATTTAACGTGAGAAAGATTAGGTCGACTGTTATTTGAAGGCAAATTTGTTCCTAACATCTTTCCAGTCTCCTTCTCTGTTTGACTTCATTAGCTCAAGGATATTTGAAACCTAGCTGTTTCTAACTCTTATGTATACGCAAATACAACCTTTATGATGGATAAAAGAAAGTGTTAAAGTATTATTTGACGCAGTTGATTGGAACAGTAAAGAACAACTACATTAATTACCCGATACAATGGGATAAATGGTCTGGGAGATTATGTCCCCTAAATATAAAACTGTAGCACATAATTATGATCAATTTCGATTTGTGTAGATGTTAAATCGCAATTACAGCCGAATTGCGCTTCCCTTATCTATTTGTTTCTAGTAGCCAGCAACCACTTCTTTTTTTTCCCTCGTATTAATCTTTTTTTTGTTGCTAAACTTCCTCGTATTAATTCTTCATACAGCATTAACAAGTCTGCTTTTTGTTATCAAAGTAAACATATAACCCACCTTCATTGATTACAGACAGCAGTGACACCTTATCGATCTTTCGTGCTATATCAAGTAAATATAGTCCATATAGTTAAAAAGTTTAAAATAAAGCAACATAAGATTTCAATTTGGATGTTGCTCCAACCACAAAAATTTCAGCTAACTAGCACTGGGACAACTTTCCGCTCCATCTTTATTACTTGTGCACAAATCATTTTCTAGCAAGTGCAAGCTCTTTCATCGTGAAGTTTCTAGTGAACAGTACGCTCAGTTTAAAGAGCAAACAGATTGCATAGAAGAAGAAAAAATCAATAACTTTTAGCAAGCGGTGCTCTCACAACAGCTGAAATTAGAAGCAATGCTCAAATCTAATTACATTTTGTTAGTTAATCAAGGGTTAAATATTATATACACAGGCATGACTTCCACCATCACCATGACTAGTATACAAAACCCCGTAAGAACCCAGTAAATTTGGAGCTCTTTACATTGCGAGATTGTGTAGACTGAGCTGAACCAACAGAGCATGCTCTACTTCAAGCCTCACACAGCAATAGCATTCATGTTTGGAGCTACCATCATGCAAAGGGAAAATCTTCTACCTCCTAAGATGATCACGGGTGAAGAATGGATGCCGCAAGGCTTCACGAGCAGTCAATCTTTCTGAAGGATCATACCTAAGAAGTCCTTGCAATAGATTAATAAGATCTCCAGCAGAATGATCCACATGCTGCATGATAATGTTCTGTGACACCAAACACAATAGCCATAAACAACAGTGCAAATTTCATTCAACCAATAGATGAGAAAGGAATTAGCATTGTACCTGAAGGCGGGCCAACTTTAACACAGCTTTGATACTGTCACGAGATGTTGCTCCTTCGGGCCAGTCTAAACGCCCTCTTCTAACATACTTTTCAGCTTGCCGACTGATTACAGCAGATTAAAATTTAGTGTAATGAAAGAAGAGACATCTCTTCTGGAATCTGAAAGTAAGTGTAGCACAAGAGACCAAATCTACAACTTACTCCACTCTTTTCAGCATGTGCTGAGGCAGGGGACCCAATACCTTCTCCATCATAGCAAGGTGTTCTAAATTCTCATGTGTTTGAAACAATGCTTCTCCCTGAATGAAGTTGCACAATTCAGTAACTGCAACCAATAAAAATGAAGGAACCATAGTCCAGCCAGATTGAACATAACATACCGAACATAGCTCCACTAGGATACACCCAACACTCCATATATCACATGGGTATGACCATCCAAGCCCTGAAATAGAGATGGTGAATTAATTCACAACTTCAAAGAGCAGGAAAAAAGAAAAATAAACATAGATGTCTTAACTCCTTACCTAGAATAACTTCGGGTGCACGGTAATGACGAGTTGATACTATATACGTCTGATTCTGACGATCGTAAGTCGTGCTACCAAAATCTATTACCTTTATAGCACTTGATTTTGGAATTCTTTTATAGTAAGAACCATCTTTTGGTGACCTTGAAGAAACCTGTATGAAATAATTGACAAACATTAGCCTATGCAATAGCATCAAGAACAAATTACAACGTCAGGGTGCAGCTAGCACAATATTAAAAGAGCACACAAACATAACGCTGATCAATCAAACAAAGTTTACCTTGTAGTCAGGAACCTTTACATATTCTGAGGAGTTGAGAAGAATGTTCTCAGGCTTCAAGTCAGTATGGATCAGGCGCAAATCATGCATAACTACAAGAGATAAGCAGAATCATAATTAATTACAACACAAAACAGTTGGGGAAAGAATTGGAAGGTATGCATGATGGTATTATCAATCCCGAGTACTAATAAATCCAACATATGCTCCGATCACGAGGCACAAAGTTATATTCAGCTCAAAGCCTACATATTGAATCTATTATATGTATGATTGAGGAAAAGAAATGTGTACAAAGCATTTTTTACACACATGCTATACATTCCAACAGTTGTCTTCCAATCTCACGGACAAGATCAATGGGAAATGAGCGGTAATTGTTTTTCCGAAGGAAATCGTATAAGCTTGGTCCAAGCTTCTCAAAGACCTGTTAAACCATTTAAGTTCATCCAAAATCTTTAATCCCCATAAGATTCGTTAGGTGGGGAAATTAATCCGTCCAAATCAATCATATACTTACAATACAGATATGATTACGATAGTCAAACCAGTTCCGTATTTGTACACAACTGCAAGGAACAAACCAGTTCAACCACTTGACAAATAACAAAAGCGCATGAATGTGTACATAGGTTATAGGATAAAAGTAGATTAAACAGGCAATTACTTACCGATTGCCCCCTTTGTCATGTTTACCAAGCTGTTGAAGCATTTCAACCTCAATCATTGCAGCATCACGATACTTCTTCATGCCCCTAACAATTTTAATAGCCACCATTTCTTTCCTCTCACGATCCCAGCATTCTAAGACCTGACCGAAAGTACCTTCACCCATCTTACTGTGAATTTTATCTGCATTTTCAGAAAATCAAGGGACTATTAAGGGGGATATAAATATGGCAAAGGGGAAAAATAATAAGCTTATATGTTACTAACTACTAAATGTTCTCTTGTTTTGGCAAACCATTTTAATTTGTTGTAACAAAGCAATGATAACCCTATCAAGGAGCAAATATGAACCAAAATAAATGCTTCTACTAATAATAGGTATGATAAAAATCTAATGTTTTACTAGTAAAACTAAACTTTAGGAAAAGGTGAATACGTAAAATCATTAAATATAATGGAGGTGAGTAATTCATTACACATACAACATAAAAATTAGACTGTATTATAACCATGGCACCAAACAATAAATAGAACTTTTTGGTGATGATAAAGATAATTACAGCGTGATGTTAAATTTTCTCCCAGCTCAAAAACAAAATGGCCATCTTTGTCATCTTCTCTCCAAGGGGGAGAACCATTTTGAGTCACTCCCTTAATAAAGGGTGTGCAAGTAAGGTCTGTGAGTTGCCTTGAAGGTGCGTAGCTTGTCACATTCCCAACCTCTTGTCCACAAAACAATCCTAGCTGAGCCTACACACAGGCATTCCATTCATGGTTTCTTAATATAAAACTAACTATCTTAATACCTCTTTAAACCTTGAAAGTTGAATAGAAATCACAAACATAAAATAGCATGTAAAGAATATAGAACAAAACTCCATTCAACAATCAACAATAACCAAATACCAACGAATTGATAGTCCCGGCAGGATCTACAAAACAGAACAGAAGCCTTTGAAAACCGAGATATTAAGTCTTATAATCAAGTCCAATCGTACATAAGCCAAGACAAAAATACTCTCTTTCAAATAAAATAAAGTATAAGCTAGAGGAACAATCAACACCAGCCCCTTTACGACAAGGAAATCAAATTGATGTAAGCGACTATTTTTTTAAAAGCTTCAATTAATATGAAGACATCTTTACATGTAACATCTTGTACAACAAAGACCATTAAGACTCAATTGAAACATCGAATAGGAACACAGTATCCCAACAATAGATAATTCATGCGAGATCTGATTAAAAATGCTTAATTAAAAGAAAGAGAAATATTAATATTTAGACAGATTTACCCTCACAGCTTGCAGAAATAAAAATCAAACCCTGAAATACAATAAATCCAGCTAACAAAAACCCCGTGAAGGTAAGAACACAACAGATCTAATCAAGATACAACATACAACGAGAAAGACTGAGTCTTTACCATACCTGATGCGAAAAACAACCTAATCTCGATCAGATCTAGCAAAAACAAAAGCGAAAAACCAAAGGTAGAATAAACAAATCGAATGATTTGAAGATAGATTTAATACCTTAGGCGGTTCAACAGGAAGGACATCCCAGCCCAGACGCGCCCTCTTTCTTGGCCGCCGGTCCAGGTGATGAGTCAACGGAAACTCGGTAACGCGTTCCATCTCCATCGCTGAAAGCTTACAAAATCTAGAGAGAGAAAAAGTCTTTAGAGAGAGAACACAATTGCCCAGAAAGTTGTTGATGCGAAACCACAAACCCTAGGCTATCCAACTAATATTGACCTAACAAATTGTGAAGTGTCGGTTAATATCAAATCTTAGCCGTATACGTGTACCGCATCATGGCCCTTCTTTTATTTATTTCATAGGCGACCTTATCCCTTTCCTAGTTAATATCGTGTTGTATTCTGATTTTTTAGCTGGATTAGATGTGGTTGGTCCTAACCATGGTTAAGGATTTTGAACCCATCTTGGGCTTCTCTTTGCTTCTTGGGCTAGTGGATGTAGCAAATCGTAATTTTGGGCTTGAGGCCTTATGAGAAAAGGCTGGAAAAAGAAAGATTTTTTCATTCTTATATATTATTTCAAATTTTATTACCCTTAATATTTATATTTAGCTAATTATCTCGCATAAATAAGTTTTGTTTACCAAATATATACAATCCACCTTAAAAGGCTCTCAATCCATTATTTGTGGCTTCAATCAAAGAATTTAGTTACACACTTTCCTTTTTTCTCTCCTCTCTCCCCTCCTCTCCACATTGCCCCGTGAGGCTTGTTGCTCACTCGATATTTTTTCGAAAAAAAATGCAAGAAGTCCTACAATAAACTGCGAGAGACAAAAAAAAAATATGTAGTCGTGGATCATTAATTCCATATTTGGAGTATGATTGGTGTTTCTTTTTCCATTCATGTACTACCAAGTATAAACTGTCATCTCTTTGCAAATCTTCTTAATATTCCTACATATTAGTTTCTGTCACAATATAAAATCCATAGTAAAAGGGAAATCTGTGGTACTCTAGTAAGTTAGGGAGAAAATATAGCATGGTGCTTTTTCTGTTGCTATCAATTTTTTCCTACAGTGCAATAGGAATAAAAAAAAAAACTTTCTGATATTAATCACTAATTGGAATGGATGGCAATCAAGAGGTCACAATTTTAACTACAACGCGCAAGTTTGAATATCAGTGGCCATCATTGCTTCCAATTTGAGCCTTCCCTACTCTTTGTAATCTATTAGCAGGAGGATATTTTTCTTCCTTTATTAGTTTAAAATTTCCCTTTAGATATTCAGCTCTCTAATCTCTATTATCAGGATTCAGGATCAAAGAATGTATGGTTTAACTGACTATTGATAAATCAATCTGCATACTATGGCATAATAACATCACTTTATATTATTCTGGACATCAACTTACTACTATAATCATTCTTCTTTTTCCATTATACAACTTATCTACAATTTATCTAGAATTTTCATATATTATTTATATCAAGTTATATACAACTACAATATCATACCACTTAAAAATAATTTTTCTACAAATTTTATACAATATATTTTTTGTATATTTTGTATCTGATTTATATATATAGTAAATAAATTTCATACAACTTTCACACATTATTTCTACCCAATTATATACAACTACAATATCATACAACTTAAATCTAATTTTTTTAAATATTGTTCAACTTTCATACAATATTTAAATTATATATATAATATAATTTTTCTATAATTTTTCTATAATTTTACTACAACTTTACTACAATTTCTGCAGCATAATGTATGTCATGTCTTATTTTTCTTCTTATTCGAGTTTCAATCTGAAATTCAGCCAAAATCAAGTCTAATCTTCACCAAAACACCCTCAAAATTGAGATATAAACTCCAAACCATATTCTCAATTGTTTGCAACAACACTTAATCCAAACAAATAATGATTTTTGAAAACCCGAATTCGAATTGAAAGCTTCAAAAAATTTTAATGGCTGCCAATGGTGGAATTGCTGCTCTCTTTTCTTTTGCTTTACACTACTGAAATTAGGAATTGAGAAATAGAGAGAGACATAGATAGAATTTCCAATTCTTTGCAACAACACCCAATTCAAACAAATAATATTTTTTTCAAAACCCAAATTCGAATTCAAAGCTTTTTAATGGCTGTCAATGGTGGAATTGTTGCTCTCTTGTGCAAGATACGTGGGGGAGGGGTGGGATGTGGAGAGAGAAACGTGGGGGAGTGGAAGATAAATTAGAATGATTTTAGGACACTAATTATTATCATCAATTCCCTTAAAATGAACATAAATGGTAATTGGGTATATAAAATGTAATTATAGTAAAATTTGAGTATGGAGGGTAATATAGTTACATATAGTGTATAGGAATGTAAAAATCTCGAAAAAGAAGTATAGTCCTAACCTTAGCAGCATGGGGCACCCTATTTGGTCGCTCCTTTTTAACTTATACCCATTTTATTTTTTCATTTGCATCTGTATTCATTTTTTGTTACAAAAAATAATTTTGCCATTTTTTAATGAAAGACTATTGACAAACGGCAAGACAAAACTTAAGCATGTTTAGGCTGAAGTTAAAGCAAATGAACCAAAAAACTTCAGCTTGTTCAGACTGAAGTTTAAGAAAAAATTCAGGACAAAACTATAGATTGCGTTACAAAACTTCAGCATGTTTTGGTATGAAGTTTTACTAAATGAACTAAATAACTTCAGTATGCATTAGCAAAAACTCTTTAGAAAATTACATACTGCAGGACAAAAACTTAAGCATGTTTAGTCTGAAGTTTTAGCAAAGGAACTAAATAACTTCAGCACGTTTAGCCTGAAGTTTTAGCAAATGAACTAAATAACTTCAGCATGCATTAGCAAAAACTCACTAGAAAATTACATACTGCAAGACAAAAACTTAAGCATGTTTATTCTGAAGTTTTAGCAAATGAACTAAAACACTTAAGCATATTTAGTCTGAAGTTTTAGCTAGCATGTTTAGTCTGAAGTTTTAGCAAATGAACTAAATAACTTCAGCATGTTTAGTCTTTAGCAAATAAACTAAATAACTTCAGCATGTTGATATACACATTATTATATATACAAAAAAGGAAAATAAATCCAATATTAACTTACTATTGAGATGTCAAGCTAATACATCCAATATTAGCTATTTTTTATATACATTTTAATATATACAAAGAAGGAAAATAAAATTATAATATACATTTTGATATACACGTTATTTGATGTGTTATACACTATGACGACCCGGCCGGTCGTCTTAAGAATTGACGCCCCGATCCCCTATTAACTGCTTTCCCTCAAGTTTATTTCTACTATTTTGATTTGTCGGGATGTTCAGTTTTGAGTTCGGAGAGTTTTGGGTCACTTAGTCTCTAAATGAGAGCTTGAGTATTGAAAAGTTGATCGTAGTCGGAACAGTGTGAAGACGGACACAGAATGGAAATATGATGGTTCTGTTAGCTCCGTTGGGTGATTTCGGGGTTAGGAGCTTGTCCGAATTGTGTTTTGGAGGTCTGTAGCTAATTTAGGCTTGAAATGCCGAAAGTCGAATTTTTGAAGTTTCTTTTTCGATAGTGAGATTTTGATCCGAGAGTCGGAATGGAATTTCGGAAGTTGGAATAGCTCCATAATGTTTAATGTGACGTGTGTGCAAAATTTCAGGTCATTCGGACGAGGTTTGATAGACTTTTTGATCGAAAACGTGTTTTTAGAGTTTTTGGGATTCTTAGGCTTGAATCCGATGAAAAACATGTGTTTTGATGTTTTGTTGAGCGTTCCGAAGGTTGGAACAAGTTTGGATGATGTTTTAGGATGGGTTGGCAGGTTTGGTTGAGGTCCCGGGGCCTCGGGTGTGTTTTGGCTGCTCAACGGACCATTTTTGGACTTGGAAAGGCATCAGATTTTTGCTGGTATGTGTTGCAGACATTTCTTCAGCGCGATCGCGTGGAGAGTATCGCGATCGTGAAGGCTTAGGCGAAGCTGAGGGAATTTTCTCTTCACGTTCGCGTGAAGAGGTATGTGAAGGCGTAGCTTTAGGGCAGTGTTGAATCGCGAACGCGTGGGCTTGGCCGCGTTCACGTAGAAGAAATAAGGTGGCGATGGTTGTTAAGTGTTTCTCTACGTGGACGCGTGAAGCCAACCGCGATCACGTAAGTCTGAGGGAGCTAAGCATCGCGTTCGTGGATGAGGTTCCGCGTTTGCATAGAGTAACCTGAGGCGCTTGATTTTTTTTGGTCTTCGCGATCGTGACTGGCCTTCCGCGATCGCAGTTAAGGGAACACCTAGGCAGAATTTAAAACCCAAAATCGAGGGTTTAGACCATAATTCATATTTTGGACTTGGGAGCTCGGGAGATTGCAATTTTTGAAGAGATTTTTACCTGGGCTATTTGGCTAAGTGATTCCTACTTGGTTTAGACTAATTTTCATAAATTTACACTTAAACCCATCCTATAATTTCGAAATTTTGGTGGAAGTTGGGGTAAAAGTTCTTAGACCAAGAAATTGAGTTTTGATTGGGATTTGACATCGGATTTGGATAATTTTGGTATGGTTAGACTCGTGAGAGTGTGAGGATTCTGAAACTATAAATTTTACCCGATTCCGAGACGTGTGCCCGAGGGGCGTTTTGGTCATTTTACCTAATTTCGCGTATTAGCTTAGAATTTCTTTGTAGAATCAGTTACTTGAAGTGTTATTTACATTATGAAATTGAATTAAATAGATTTGGGCCATTTGGAGTCGTGTACTCGTGGCAAGAACGTGGTCTCGGATTGATTTTTAAGCCGGTTCGAGGTAAGTGGCTTGTCTAACCTTGTGTGGGGGACTTTCACCTTAGGATATGATATATTTGATAATTGAAAAGCCTTGTACGTGAGGTGACGAGTGCGTACTTGAGCTAATTGTTGAAAATCCGGTTTTACTCTAAGTATTTCAATTGAGTTTCTTTTTCTTGTTTTATTCTACTTGCGAATTTAGCCTGTTGTAGTTTAGAAAAGCATGTTTAGTTGACTTAATTGTCTATTTGCTTAAACTGCTTTAATTGCATTACGCGAAGCATGTTAGGTTAGGATTAACTGTTTATTTGGTACGAAATTAACATTTAAATGAGTATTCTTGTGTTGCTTCTGTGTGTTTTAATTTGGGACTATGGGACGACATCCCGGGAGATCCCTGACACGTATATTGAGAATACCAAGAGATCCTCGGGATACT